TCAGCAGTAAATCACATAATTTACTGATATCGAAAACATAATTTGTTAAATTATATCACAGATTCCGCAGGTCCCTGTGTCGCAGTGGATTTAGGTACCCATTAATTGGTTGGTGGAATGTAATCATGTAGGGCATGAGCGGGGTTGCATAATCTGTAGTTATCACTGTATTAATTAAAAGTCTAATTCATGTAATCAATGACGCAATTATTAAGTAATAATATATAAGGTCGTAATCCTTTAAGAGAATCAACCAGACAAGTTTGAATTCGCAATTAGGTTTTCTAAAGTAACCTTTAGTTAAGAAACTGTATACTGCATTGTCTTCGCAGTGTAAGAGAAAGCCTAGCGTGAAAAGACCCGTGAATCAGAGTAAAATCCATAAGTAGTTGAATAACTACGCGACCTTAAGTTAATTGGAACTCTTGGTAAATGATGGTGAAATTGGTGAAATTTAATATAACAGCCAATCAGATTTTAGATAGTCACCAACATTATTTAGTTTCACCAGCATCTATATTCATGTCCCAACTGTCCCATGTACAACACCGCTCTGGAGTATATTGAAGTTGGCACCTAGATAATGATAATAAACCACTTAAACTTTTCTATGGCCAATATGCATATAATGAATATTTACACGGATCTGAAATCTGTTCCTTAGCAAAATGGAATTGAAAATTTGAGTCATTTACTAGTTGAAGATTTTGATTCGTAATGTCTGATATAATATTATTAGAAGAGACAATTTCGACAATTTCTCCAGATTCAACGGAGGTTTGAATGATCTATAAAACTCCAATCTTGTAAAATTTGCGAGATTCTGTCTATTCCAGCACTTGCATACGTGTGATTTATATTAACATGAAATGCCAAAAACTTATAAATAGATAAATAACTGTTTATAATGTCACTTATTATATAAAGAAAAAAAGCCGAATATTTATAAAACTAATGATATTTGGGTTGATACCTTTATAGGATATTGGCCTGCCTTAATTGTTTATTTTAAGATTTTGCTAGTTTTTTTTTTTACCTCTTCAGAGGCGAACTACCCTTTAAAAGTTTTAACTTCGCATACTAATAAAGTTTAGATAATCAATTGATGAGCTGACATTAAAATCTGACACCGGTGCCGAATTAAGCTTATAAGTGGGACATGTATTTTTGGTTTAGTGGTGATAGATGACATAAGTCCTAACTTAACACCTTTTTTCTCGACACAATCATAAATAAGGTATATAAAAAAAGCCACATGAACTTATAGAATGGTAAAAAAGATCGAATTTTCATGTTTATTATAGTTTCATAAAGTTTTTTGAGTATGGAGTTAATATAAAAATAAGACATGAAAATATGAGATAAGATGCGCAGAAAAAAATTCAGCATCTAGATAGGTTTTTTCCCTTCAAAAAAAAAGCTACAAATGAACATGTATTAGGGTTGTCATATATATATAAATATTTAATTCGATATCATAGTGCCACGGACAAGTTAGATTGAAGGAAATATGAGGTCAAATTGATGCACAACGGTGAATGAAGATGATACTTTATAGTTTCTTAGCAGTTAGTGAATTCGCGAAAATACTGGAATTATGATCTAACGTTTAGCATTAAAATTAGGTGTATATCAATCAACAGTGTGTATTATTCAACCTTAATTGTATACTTTTATAGGTGACGCTGCTACATGTTGCAAAACTGAATACCTAGAACACATTCTTTCTTACAAACCAACTCATATATCAAATATTTAATTCGTGATCCGCCTATAAAAAGTAATAATTAAAATTTAGGGCAATTTAATATAAGTATTATAATATGGTCCCAATCTGATTTTGCCAAAAGTAAAGTTATTGTTTCACTAAGTTAACTTCTAATAAAAATTGTAAAGCTAGTTTTTTGTGATTCTAATAGTAGTAAAATTAGTAAAATTGGTCTAGTAGTTTTTATGATAAATTTTTTCTTTATAATCATATAAAATTTTTTGAATATTGCTAACTTGTTCTTTTGGTTAACATAATTATTTTCTTATTCTAACTCAAAAAACGGCTTAAATAACTATGTTTATGCACTAAGTAAAAATGGTTAGCACTATAAAAAACCTTATTATAGCCTTAACTCTAATTCTAATCCTAATTCCAGCTCTATTACATCTAATTTTAATTAAAATTTGAATAAAAATTTATAATAGATTATATATGGTTAAAATTTATAACTTTATCCAGAGGTTTAATTTAAATTTTTCTTATGTTTTTATAAAAAATTGATATGATTGTAAAGAGAAAATTAAAATATCTTAAAAACTACTAGATCAATTTAACGATTTTTCTACCATTAGAATAATAAAAACTAGCTTACAACTTTGTTAGAAATTTAAGAAGTTAGTAAAAAAAATTACTTTTGTGCCAAGTCTGATTGGGCTATATTATAATACTCATTAAATTTGTCCCAAATTTTATTATATGAATCCTATCACTTATAGGCAGATCATGAATTAAAGAGTTCAAGTAGCAATTTTTTTGAAGGCAAAAATATTTTTCAGGGTATAATTTATCAGTTCAAACTTCGGGTTGAATATACCTAGTATTAGGAAATCATTATATGTTTTCTACAAAAATGATGAGTGCAAAATTAACAAGTATCTTATTAAGCATAACAAATCCCACCTGCAGACTGTTATTTTATATATTATTTTAAAGAATCATGATTCAAAGTTAGCTATTTTAAGATTAGAAAGAAAACTAATTTTAATGCAGACACAAATAACGATACTCGGTAACCCGTATCAATTAGAAGATCATATAAACAGTGTATACAGTAATAAAATAATCGCATATTTATATTCGAAATTATTGTCCTGTAATCTTAGAATTTACACGTTAAGGTTTCTTGAAACTTGGCAAGTGTTTCTAGAAATTAATCTCAATAATCATCGTAGCAGACAATAATTCGTATTACAAAAGCATACATGGTGAGCCTATGGTTCTGAAAAAAAAAATCACTATACAAGTTACTCTGGATATATCGACAATTTTTTTTCATTAGTAAAAAAATTCAAAATGTCGATATAGTGAGTTATACCGACATTTATATTAAATTTTGAAAAAAAATGTCGATGTAGAAAGATTTTACTACGATGTCGTTATATTCAGATGTCGGTATAACCAGAGTGACGTGTATAAGATTATTGTTTCTTAAGAATATACAGTACTACATTTTCTATACCGAATATAACGAACTAGTATAAAGTTTAAAAATTTACAGTTCGTTATTATTAAGATGACTAATTATAGAGGAAGTTGGTCTCAGACGTAGCCGGTCTCATTTTGGGCATTTATTTTTTAATAGTATAAATTTTCTTGAGGTATTCACATTCTTACACTAATAATTAGAAAGCTTTATGATTTGTGTCAGAGTAAATCCGACTATTTGTGTCCGGACGAACCTGACGATTTATATCAGAGTAAATCTGAGGATTTGTATCAGAGCAAGTCTGATTATTCGTATCTATGAGTAGATTAGACGTTTTCGCTCCGTATCTTCGATATAATATGAAGCCAGCTGCTACTATTACGCTAACAAAAACTAAGGAGCCTATTATACCACCCACTATTGCACCTGGAGATGATTGAGATGTAAATGATGTGGATGTGGATGTAGGCTGAGTTGGTTTCGAAGATGAGTTAGGTGGATTAGTACCATCTATTATGAAATTCATTAATTTTCCATCGTCTGTATCTTTATTTATATCGAAAATTGCAATTCCTAGTGCATTAGCCTGCACGTAATCAAGTTTAGATTTTAATGATTGAAGATTTTCATAAGGAACATAATAATATCGTGTAGGAGAATTCTGTTGTTGTTGGTAAAGATATGGCTGTTGAGATTTATTATCAAAGCCATAATTCCATTTTGAATCTTTATTGGTACTTGTATCACAAAGTAATAATAAGTTAGAAAAATTTTTCCACGACCAAGTCGCATATACTGAACGTTCACATAGATCTTGAATCCTCTCATCATAAGATGGGAGTTGAACATTTGTGTCATTTACAAGCACAAGATTTTGACTATTTATATCCGTTATAATGTTATTAGAAGTAACCACTTCGATAATACCACCAAAATCGATTCCTAAAACGAGTTTTGATTTACTGACAAAACTACTCCAACTATCAAAAATTTTCTGAATATTGTCTATTCCGGCACTCGTGGATTTGCTATCTATATTAAGATAAAATGCCTGAAGTTTTATAAGAAAATTAAACTTAGATTACTGCACAATATTATGTATCCGGAGCTAACAAGCTATTGTATATGAGTGAACGGACATTGCGCAATCTGGAAGTTCTCCACTATACTTAGGATAATAAGAGTTTATAACATCGTTTGTTAAAAATAAAGTTAAATCTTACCTGAATATTCACAAACTTAATAATATCAGAATTGCTGGAGTTAAGACCAGATATAGGATACTGGCCTGCTGTGACCGTTAAAATCTTACTGCTATTAGATTTCCTTAATTGGCTTGATAAATCATTTAGGAACGGTAGGAAAACAGAATTTAGCTCATTAATATTGAACTGTTGTCCTTGCGGTATTCCTTGCGGTGGCGGTGGATAGCGTGGATAGCATGGAAGCTTATTAGGATAATCAATATCAATCTAGAATTAAAAAATAATTAAGTAACCATCATTAAATAATGCAAAAGGTAAGAATTGTTGAACTTACTCCATCGAACGGATTGTCCTTTTCGGTAACAATTTTAACTAAATCACTAACAAAATTATTATTTTGATTATATCCCCAGCCGCTTCCAGTATTAGAAAACGGGGAGATTTTCACTAAGTCTTGAGTAGTAGGCAACAAGACTGAAAGGATTAACTATAAATATCAAACTAATCATTATAATAAATACTTTAACATATACTCAGCATCTCTAACTTACTTGAAATTTCCGATTAGGATTTATTACAAGATAATCTCTAAATTGATTAAATTTATCGAAATGCTGTAGATCATAAAACACTGTATATGGTCCAGTGCCATTAGTAAGATCATTCGGATCAAATGCTACAAGAATTTAAACCCAACAATATCTGTTAAATTTAATCCATTATAATGATTGAAAGTTTTTAAATTCCGCATACCAATATAGTTTAAATGAGTAATTGACGAACTTATAAGTTTATTTAAATCATCTACTTTCAAATTATATTTATAAGCCGGATAATATCCAACAATCGTATTTGGTCGTGATGATGGATTCACCCCACAATTCTGGCTATAAACTCCAATGTTCACAACTAATATGAAAAAGGCGTATAAGAAAAGTATTATGAACTTATAGGGCGTGAATGAACGAGTTTTCATATTTATCATTAAAACATAAATTATCCTGAGAACAGAAATCTTAATATTGAGAATGAGTCTATATAATAGGTTATTTTTTAAAGGAAAATCTCATGTAGGTTTAAAAAGATTACAAATGATCATAAGATTATCTATATAAATATTTAATTTTTACTTTTCGGTGGTTCCGAACGAAATCTCCGTTATGTGCAATACCAGCAAGAATGATAATCAAAATTTATACTTAGTGCGACCTATATCTTGGAATTAGTGTTACTATTATTTTTGTTTTTTTACTATAATTGAATGTAAAAAAATTTTTCGTTAAGATTACTATTACGATTACGGTAGCGAGCGCGAAAGTCTAATTTATGTTCTTACTACAATAGGATGACCAAGCCATAACCGTCATGATCATTAACCCTCTTAGCATAACCACCAAAATCATCTACTTGAGCACCGACTAAAACCAGCATTGAAAACTCACTATTATTAAGTCGATACTGTCTAATTGCATACTATCTGTCATCAGAGACTTTTCTTATGCATATAGACAATAGACAGTCTATGCATTTTGATAGGTTACGGCACGATTCCCAGAAAGTTATTTACCCGCCAACTCATTTTCCCGACACTGTAATGCCGACACGCTATTTCATTTACAGTACATTTTTTCGATAAGACATATATTTGACATTACATGTTTTCAACAACCTGTTCTTAGACAAGACATTTCCCCGACATATAAATCTAACCGACACTAACTCGAGCAATTTTATGTCGAGGGAATGATTGCCAGAAATATGTAATTTCAAATATAGTCTTAACGAAAAAATGTACTGTAAATGAAATAGCATGCCGGCATTATGGTGTCTGGGAAATGAGTTGGCGGGTAAATAGCTTTCTCTCAATGTAAAGTATCAAAGCTGAAATTCTTTCGAAATAGTGGATTTACTAATAAACCTTCGATATCATGGGATTTTTAAAATTTTTACTAATAGAAGGGCCACTTCACTAAAATGAGAGTGATTTATAGACTTATTCTTATAGATGCGAGAAAACATAAAATCATAATTTTTCTATACAATTTATTAGATAAATATAACGATAATAAACTATTCGAGTTCATGAATATTTTCAAGACATAAGCTGTTCATGAATATTTAGGTGAGCAAAAAGAATGTTCATTAATCAATATAAGATAAGCTGTCAGGCTCGTGAATATTTACATTCATGCATTATCCTAACCAGTTTATTTTTGCTTGCATTAATTCACTAGATGAGCCAAAAGAACGTTCATTAATCAAGTATTAGAGACAATCTACTCAAGTTTACGAATATTCACTATAGCGCATTATTTCTATCTGTTCATTTTCTTGACTAATCAACCGTTTAACACTGCTTATAGTATTCAGGTCATATTCAAGAATTTCATTTTTAAAATCGAATAGAACCAAATACTATTTAAGAATCGGGTAATTTTATTGACGAAGAGTGTACTTTATATTGCAGGATATTGTGTTCTGAAAATGCTATAAAAAATGCCAAACGGTAATAGGCAGTAAAGATAAATTTTTCAGTTATATTTCTATCTCAAATTTTTTTACTATTTTTGTTTGCATTAATTACTATGTAAGCAAAAAAGAACATTCATTAAACAAGTTATTTGTAACATACTATTCTTTATTACCATATCAAGTATTTGCATTAATTAGTGGGAATATTCATCACATGATTTAGGTGACGAAACCTCTACATGATCATGTTCTAGTTTTCAATTGAATTTTGAATTATTTATACAGTTTAAAGTATTTATCAGCTTTTTCAAGAAACAACAACACATAATAAAATAAGATGCATTATAAAGCATTATACAGAAAAGTTTATTTGAGTTGTAGACTCTATTGTCAAAATGTATCTTTAACTCTTTAATGAAGTTAGCATAGTAACGACTTCTCTAAAACGGATAAAGTCATAACTATGCTAACTTTTTTTAACAATATGAGGGCTAAAGATGCCTTTTGGCAATAGAGTCCTACAACTCTAAAAAACCTTTCTGTATAATGTTTCTTATTTATTATGTGCTGATTTTGTTTTTTTGAAAAAGTACATTAAACTATACAGCTATATAAATAATGTAAAATTCAATTGAAAACTGATAGCCAATCATACGAACGTCGCCCTATGACTATACGTCCTCAAGTTCCTGCACCTCTATTGATAACGATACTTGGTTAACCCGAAATTTATAGTTTTTTTTTTATTACTGTGAAACAACGTATACAGTAATAAAATAATCGCATATTTAGATTCGCAATTATTGTCCTGTAATCTTAGAATTTACACGTTTAAGGTTGATATGCTGCAAGTGTTTTAGAAAATTGATCTCAATGCAATAATCATCGTAGCAGAAGATAATTCGTATTACAAAAGTGTACATGGTGAACCTACGGTTCTTGAGAAAAAATTTGTTATATAAAATTATTGTTTTTTAAGAACATACTACATTTCTATACCGAATACAACGAACTAAAGTTTAAAAATTTACAGTTCGTCATATCTAGAGTTCGTTATTAAGGTGACTAATTATAGAGGGAATTGGTCTCATATGTAGTTAGGGTTGGAGGCACGGGGCACGAGGCATGCCTTTTGGGCATGCCCTTGGGCATGCCTGGAGGCATGCCCTTAGGCCAAAAGGCATGCCTCTATCATGTGATAATCAATATTAAATCACGTGATAATGCAATACGCTGATTGGCTATTAACAAACATTAAGATAAATAAACTAAGAGTGCATAAACGAATCTAAAA